CCTTCCATCCATCATCCTCGCTAGGTCACAGTACAGCACCATTGTGTCCGGGTAGCTTTGAAAATTGTGACGTGTACACCTAGAGATAGAGTGAACTCATTTGGTGTCATCCTTCCTTTAGGGCTTTATTGTAGGAAGGCCAAATCCAAGTCTGGCTTCCTTCTATAACGCTTTCTGTTGTTGATATACCTCTGTCACGTCACCTCTTACTCAGCTTATCCACAGTCCTAACTCCCTTACTCTTCTCGTAGGGAAGGCTTTCTCGGCCCCTGCCCTTGTCTGGACATTGACTGTCTCTGCTATCCCTGAGATGAGGCGATGCACCCCAGAGGTAGCTGCTCTGCAGTGGTGGCAGAACTATATGAGCTTTGTATGTACTTAAGTTGTAAAGTGCTTTGGGACCCTTTATGAAAGGAAAGATGGCTATGACTAGTAGCCATCCCCTGGGTATTGGCTTGTTTAACAGCCTGCTATTATTGGGAACACAGGAGTTGCCAGGATGGATCAGCCCAAGCGTCCCTCTAGTCAGTGCCCCACCTCCAACACTGGCCAGCACCAGCTGCTTCAGAGGGACCCTGCAGTTATGACATAGCTTCCACCCCCCCAAGGAAACTTCCCTCCTAACCCCCTCTAGTTTCGTAGTAATAATGAACAGTAGTAGGGGGGTAGCACGTAGAGACCCAGATCAGGAGTCCATGGTGCTAGGTGCTCTGCATACACGTGAAGATACACTCCCTGTCCCAAAGAGCTTGCTGGTTACTTGGTTCTCTGTGCTGGGTTTGCGAACAGAGGGTGTATGGGATAGGGGGAAGAGAGCGTTTAATGGAAAGTGAGGAGGATATCTGTCTGATGGCTCTGTGTGTGTGTGTTTGTTTTCCTCTCTCATAAACACATCTCCAGCAGCTCACGGCCCCTTCAAGAGTAGAGCTGTGAATTTTCATCTCTCAGCTAATCAACTCGCCTGCTAGTCCAAACTTGTCAGGAGTTTTATCCCTTCATTGGCAGCCCTCCCTCCAGCCCCCAAGTGACAGCAGACGTTCCTATCCCTCCCGGACACACATCCAGCTGCTACACAAACAAACGTCCCCCGGCCGGTGATCCTTCCCTGTCACACACATCTGACCCCGGGTCCCCACAGCCAGCCCGTCTCATCGGCACTATGCCCTGCGGCCTCTCCGCGAGACAGCCTTTCCAATAACATTTGTGCTGCTCCCTGTGTCCCAGCAGGCGGAACATCCCAAGTCACAGTTAGTAAAAGGGCAATGTTTACCAGCAGGGACGGGAGAGCGGTGTTACTGTCTAAGCTGGGGGTTTATTAATTGCTGCTTTAGCCTGTTCTTGTGTGACAAAAGATTAATCACCTAGCAGAACATGTGCTGCCTGTGAGGCTCCTGCAGATGAGAGACAGCTGTGGTGAGAGCAACGTTACGGGGCTGGCTCAGCTGCTGATCTGTTTTTCTAACCACTGTGCCTGGGAAGTAGTTGGCCGCAGGGCTGGGTTTGCTGCGCCAGGGATATTAAGCGCAGGGGTGGCGAGCGTTGCCAGGGCTCTGAGGAGCGACAAAGAGTGGACCCTAGTCATTAGGGCCACAATGTTCAGAAGGGCTCAGAGTCAGCACCCGTCATTGGAGCCAGATTTTCAGGGGAGCTCAGCGTGTTAACAAGATGGCCTCTAAGGGGAATGGTTCTTAATTCAGCATGTCCCCTTTCCCCAGGGGGCCAGTCCAGGATCATCCCTCCCGGAACATTCTCCAGTCGGTGCTGTCCAGCCTCAGATGAAATGGTGCCGGCATGTCTGTTTCCAGTGGGAGATGCAGGCCCCCCCACAACAGAGAAGTTGAGAAATAGGGGTTTGCCAGTACTCGCGAGTGTCTTAACGACTGCACTAAGGGATATTCTGATGCAAGTTGCTCTTTATCTCTGATTGAAGTGGTTCCACTTTAACTAAATATTAATTGAGCCAAAGATAGCATCTGGGTAATGCTATTGCCCAGTCAATTGGGTATTCAAACAGCCTCCTGCCTGCGAGCAAGGGATTTGGGCAATGAATTGCTACCAGTCAAGACTAAGTGCTGGCCTAGGAAGTAGTCTGAGGGGGTGCTCCCTTACTCTTGTCGTAGCTCTACTGTAATTCACTATTAAGTGGGCCAAGGCAAGACTCCCTTCTGAGAAGCTGCCTGTGGTCTGGTGGTTGGGTTAGACCACCTGGGATGGTAGAGACCCTATTTCAAGTCCCCTGTCTGCTTTTCCTGTTGGGAGCTGTTCCACTTTACTTAACTAGGAATTGGGGCAGGCAAAGGGTTAGGATCACGCTATAGTCCACCGGTTGGGTACTTGTTTAAGGAGGTGGGAGATCCTTGGATTTCCTGGTTCAAATCCTGCCTCTGCCCCTTTAGATGGGGTTTGAATGGGGAAATCCCATCTTCCAGGTGACCAGGGAGGTGGCAGACGCCTGTTTAGATCCCTTCTCCTTCACGGGAGCCATTGTCTTCCTGGGAAAAGGAGGGGGGCCCCACCTCCGGTGGGGGGCTGGGTGGGTAGGGGTGGTGAGGGGTCCCTGGGAGGTGGGAGAGCCCTGTTCCAATCCCTTCACAGAAGAGGGACTGGAACTGGGATCTCCTACTGCCTGGGCGGATAACTGGCTGTGGGGGGCAAAAGAGTGAGTCACTTTTTAATAGTTCATTAAAAGGAAAGCTGAGTTAGCAAGATGCCTGCTCCAATATCTTCTTGCCAAGGAAGAGATGGGACTTAAACTGAGGCCTCCAACATCTCAGGCCACTTCCTAAACCACTGGACCAGAGAAAGCAACTTGCTTGAGTCACTCGCTTTCGTCCTATTAATCTTTAATTACAAGTGGACCCACTTCAAAAGTGAAGGCTGAGGGACCTCCCACCTCTTATCCCAGAGTGTAGAACTGAACTGTGGTCTTTAATATTCCAGGCCAACACCCAAACCACCAGGCTATAGGTGGTGTCTTGTAAGGGCTCTTCTCCAATTAATATGTAATTAAAGTAGAAATCCCTTCTCATTAAGCAAAAGGGGGAGTGAACCAGACTCTTTCAGAGCCTAGCTCTGAGCAAAAGAAAAGTGATTTCTTCCCATTCCAAGAACAAGCGTGAAATATCAGCTGTGGTGTTTCAGTAACCTAACTACAGGCTGTCATTTATAAGCCTACTCCCACTACCTACAGTATGAGTAATTCTGAGGGCAAAGAGCAGAAACTCTCAGTCATGGTCACACATCAAAGATGACCCAACTGTGGCTTTATAAATTAGAGCCATTCCTTTGAATTCATGGCATGGACACACCTGATCTAACCCAGGAGTTAATGAAAAACCAAGCAGTAGCTGAATCAAGTAGGACTTGTATGCCTAGCAAGATCTGCAGGTAGGGAAATGCAGGTCGACCCAACTGCAGTTTTTCAGAGTCAGCAGCCTCTGTCTTACTGGTATCTTTATTGTACAGTGGTAAAAAGCAAGTATCGCTGGGTAATGTGCATTGCAAGTTGTTTGCTAAGAATAACCAAATAAGTGAGACACTTCCACCAACACTGGCCTCCTTCAGGCAGCATCTGAAATGTGCAAATTATCAGTCTGGTCTTGGTATTGTCATGTGTCCCCTGTTAGCAATGGATGGGTGATAGATAGCATGGAACATCATGGTGATCCAGAAGCTATCCTAAGCTTGGTGCAGCAACGGCCTGAGGGAACCTGTGCAACAAGGAGATGTCACAGAGAAGATTTGGGGTGCTCCAATGGACCCCATGGCAATGAGTGTAGCAACAGAATATTGAGCACAGCGGACAGATTCTGATGCTTTAACCACCTGCAAACTACCAGGACTATTTTGGGGAGTTGGTATTGCTCAAAGGGGTGTTATATTAGACATGCAGTAGCACCGAGTTCGATGTAGCAATTCCGTGAGAGTACAGGGTTATACTTCGTTATTCACGCAAGACATTCTACAGCCCTTCCAGTAAGAGTCATTACTGTTCTAAGTAGCTGACATGTATTGTCATTGTATTCACTGATAGTAAGAAGTTAATTACAGTTGTGCCATGTGTGCTTTAGACATGTGTCTCGGGCCGAGCAGATAACATCCAAACTATCTGTTTTATCTGCATAACTTCATAAAAAAATAGACCAACTTCTCACCTCAGTCCATTCTACAACTAATGACTAGTATTTTGCTGTATAGCTGGATAGCCAACAAGCTCATACGGTCACGTGCCTACAGACTTCTGCTTTAGCCAAAGGCAAAACAAGTACAGGAAAACGCATTAAAATACATCACCGGGGGCTATATATTTCCCCGACTGCCCAAAGCAGTACAATTACACAGTTGCCTTACCAAGTGTATTTAGAAGCTTTCTGCTGAATTTGGTCAAAATTAAACTGTGTTTCTATGAGTCCTGGCCCTTCCTGTGATTTTATTTATTAATTTTTGACTGGATGCCTGATAATGTTTAAACATGACCTAATATAGAGAAACTGCAACACTTCCAGCATCTCCATCCACCCTGGGGATGACACCAGGTATGTGTCTACTCCAATCTGTGGGGGCAATGAATTTTTTCTAGCTGATGGGTATATGTGGGCCTGAGCCAATAGAAGGGACCACTATGATCATTTAGACAGACCTTCTGCATGACACAAGCCCAGAGAATTTCCCCCTGTGATGCCTGCAGGCTGCAGCAAGTCCGTAGCTTCTGGTTGAGCAAGAGTGTATCTTTCAGAAAGGCATTTTTGAGCTGTCAATCAAATGGAACCTGCACCCCCTGACCAACCAATCCAAAGCAGCTGTAATTCCAAGCAGACCCCCCAGATCAGTGTGGGACCTTTGTGGTCCCTAGGACTTTAGCTGTCTGAGCAACTTCTTATTGGGAGCTGTAAGGCTAGGAGGGCAGAGAAGCGACGAGGCACCCAGTCTGTTACATCCCATATACAGGACTGCAGGGGACACAGGCCAGGTGAGATGTCAGTAAATACTGATCTCCTCTGTTCCCAACGCTGGGCATGTCTGGCAATCTCCAGCAGGATGTGGTGCAGTCTAAAGGCTAGTTCATTCCCACATGCAGCTCTGCACAGCGCTTCTCAAGCTCTTTATTAGTAGCATATGGGGCTGCGTAATTAACATGTAAACAGAACTTTGGACCCCACATGAAACAAATTCCCTTTTGTTTTCAGAGCAAGATGAAAAATATCAGACTCAGCTCTTCAGCTGGATTCCTTCTCGCTCAGTCCCAGAGTGAGCCGCGCGGCCCGTGGGAATGTGGCAAAGCAAGCCAGGAGACGCTGCAGAAGGAGAGCCGCTCCAGTGGCAGGGATGGTGGTTCTAACATGCTGGAGCTCAGGGGGCAATGTTGAAGCAAAGTCAGACAGGTTTGATTCAAATCCCTGCTTTCGCCTCAGATGCACTGCTCAACAGGTGTTCAATCACAATTCATGGCCACACACACACCCCCCACTCCGCCCCCCCCGGATTGATCAGCCTATTGCAGCTTATCTCAAACCAACTCCTAGCGCAGGGGCTGCCCCTGGCTACCATGAACCAGGCCCTCGCCTGTGCATTCACTGTCAAGAGCATGCCCAGCATTGCTCCCAGGGACTAAGGCAGCAAAGGGATGGTGGTGGGGTCTCACCTGTTCAGCCAGAGGGGTGGCATGTGGATATTTCCAAGGTCCCTATTACCTAAGAGAGGGATGTTTGGTGCAACAGGGGGCCCTGAGTCATGATGGATAGGCAAGAGTGGCATCCACAAGAAACCCAGTACAACGTTTTCCATTCTGCTTGCAAGAAATTCTCCCCCCATCCCGCTTCCCCCGTCCCTTCCCTCCTCACCACCACCCAGTCAGCACTGATTTGCTGACACCCTCCCCCACTGATTCAACCGTAGCGGGAGGTTACTTTTTTCTGGCATTGACAACTGATGATGAGGCAAGTGCGTGAAGTGACAAAAGGCCTCGGAGCGGAACATGGAACCTAGCGAAGGCCCCCTGAGAGAGGGGAGGGATTTAAGCAAAACTCGGCCTTGTGGCATGTTGCTTGTGCTAAACATCACCGCATGGAAACTTTTTACACCACCACTGGGTGTTTGCAGACTTCAAAGGGGCAACCCAGGCCTGACTCAATTGGGGGGAGGGGTGGGGGTTGCAAAAACAAGCCTGGTACACAGGCACCAAAACCTTTTCGGTGAGAGCCGGACGCTACAGAGTAGGGGGGAAAAGCTCCTCCCTCTCGGCCACAGTCGCCGGCTGAACCGAGGAGCTGTTAAGACAAATGGGCTGTCTAAGGGCAGACCGCTTTTCCGCTTGTTCATCTTGAGGAGCTGCAGTTTTTCCTAAACATACATCTTAGCAAGACTGCATGCCCAGTGCACGGCCCATGCCCATGCCCAGGGATGTATGGAGGGGGAGCTGCTCTGTTGTCCTTCACACTCATTCAAGTTCTACGTGAATTTTGAATATAATGTAGTGGCAACAGCCCGTTTGTGGATGCTGTCTGTGAACGGGGCCATTGCCTGATTTGATCAGACCTGGAGGCCATCTAGCCCAGTGTCCTGTCTTCCCCACGGGCAGCCCCAGCTGCTTCCGAGGGAGACGCAAGAACCCTGCAAGAGGCACATAAGGGATAACCTGACCCCACTAGCTCGGGGCTTGTTCATGCCCTGAAGCAGGAGGGTTAGATACCCTCCAATACTCTTGTTTTCATTTACTGTGGATAATGAGAACACACACTGTAGAAGGGATCGAAAACAGTGTCCAATCCATGTTTAGCTCCAGCTAAGCTCCTGGGCTCACTCATGTCAGCGACAGGGATCTGCCTTTTGGGAGGGAGGCTCCTAGGCCAAATGGGTCATTTTGAAGTGACGGTGTCCCAGGAAACCCACGTCCAAATGACCTCAAATTTACACCCCAAACTCCACTGCCAAATTTTCCAGTCAAGCTGACGTTGTATGTGGATTTTGGAGAGGTTTGTAAAGTAAATGGAAACCCTTTTTACAACCATGATGATGGGAGTCACTAAGGCCCTTCCATAATGGGTTAGAACATGCCATCTTTATGGGACGCTAACTGTAGGGAGCTCCGCCTCCTTCAGCCCCGAGCTGTACAGAACTAGGGCGGCTCAGCTCACAGGCGGCCGGTCTCAGAATGCCCTTTGGTGCTAGCCTGGGTAGCATTTGCCTCCCCAGCACCCCAAGAATCGGACTGAGTTGTGGGTTGGAAATACAAGTTTCTCCTCACTTCTGCTGCCTCCTGTCTTCTGGGTAAGGAAACAACAAGGAGAGTCCCTTCTTCCAGCTGCTCTCCTCCCCCTGTTCCGGGAGCCCAGCCTGTGCACCACCCTCCTGCATAGCAAGGACTGAGTTATATTGGGCAATTCACCCTTCCTTAGCTGTTCACTGATCCTGGCACGAGGACCAAGGTGCATGAAACCCTAGCTGGCTACAGCAGGCCGCTGTTGGACCTGAACGAATCCGCTTCCTATTCATTGCCACAGCCCCTAATTCTCCTGCCTCCTTTTCCAGCCCACTGGGGGTGAAGTTACCGACCCCCAGCCTCATTTGGAAATATTACGGTTAGATTTTGCCTGGGCCCGTGTAATTAGTTTTGTCAATTGAGTTACTAGACAAAAGGCCCTGGCATTTGGTTAGCAGGGCTGGGCTGGGGGAGGACGTCGTTCTGCTGATTTGGTTACAGTTTCTCTTAGAATTGTAATGATTATTTTGCTGACAATAGAGTCAACTGTAGCAGCTGATTAGAGAATTCCCTTCCTCATGGAGGAAAGCTGCCATGTGTAAAGAATGGAGCAGTAACTACTCCAACACCCACTCGCCCCAGTATTTTGTAGTGCAACAGGTGTGCAGAGCACTGCCTAGAAAAAGAGAAGCATAAAGTCCCGGCCCTAATGAGATTTCACAAGCATGGTACCTAGAGGAAGATGGCATTACAGCACCTTGGAATCTACTCACAGAGAAAGTATCATGGGGAAGTAACACCGACTCTAAACACCCTGATCCTTACTCAGGAGACTTGCACTTCAACACAACCTGACCAGCGGAGATCAAAGGACAGGCCTGAACCCAGGTGCCCCTGGACTTTGGCGTTCAGATTGGGAATTGTACTCTTCAGCAATTTGGCAATTCCGGCTCCAGTCATGGTTGAAAAGGGAAAAGAGAAGATCTAAATGTTTCACCCCCCTCTGAATGGTTCAGACCAAGCCAAGTTCACTTGTACAGATGGTAGGAAGAAGGATGGGGATTAGTCGGAGTGGAGGAGCCTTCTCTCATTCCAAACCAAGAAGAGCCTAACAGAGAGAGATTGGGAAAGACAGGATAAAGAAACCAGGCTGGGGTGGGACAAGGATGCCATTCGCACCGGCAATCAATGCTGAAACTATTCCTCCAAGTGCATAGAAAGTGCTGAGCCAGGAAAGAGAAAGAGAGAGAGAGAGAGAATGTGTGTGTGTACACATACGTGTACACAGGCCAGAGCCTTGAAGGGACTTATGCAGCTGGTGGCGAGAAGTAATTGAGAGAAGCCAGCACATTTCTCTATAGAAAGGGTGCTGGGTACCAGACCTCTCAATTCTAGCCCAAGATCCGGACTCTGACTCAAATTCCAAAGCCAGAAGGAAGCCCCTGGCAAGATATTTGCTGCAAAATATCTGCTGCGTCATTTGAGTATTGCACTTTTTATACAGTAATAAATCCATCTCTGCCAGAGCTCAGGATTTCACCTTGCCCCATTGATCCATCACGCAGCATCTAACGTTTGCAGATAAATCATGGTCTGTAGTTGGTTAGCTTCCCCATAAACACAACCGCAGTAATCGCTGCCACATGGATTTGGGACCTGACACTCCTGTGAATGAAGAACAAGCCGATGTGTGTGGCTGTGCAAGTCTGCCCTCTGCTGGCCTGAAAATTTTGCACACAAGCCCACATATTCATACAGATCTAATACTCTGACTAATGTATCATTAGTGCCCTCTGTAGGGTGAGCTAACGCAGGGGCTCTCAACCTTTCCAGACTCCTGTACCCCTTTCAGCAGTCTGATTTGTCTTGCGTACCCCAAGCTTCACCTCACTTAAAAACTACTTGCTTACAAAAATCAGTCATAAAAATACAAACTGTCACAACACACTGTTACTGACAAATAGCTGACTTTCTCATTTTTACCATGTAATTATAAAATAAATCAAGTGGAATATAAATATTGTACTTACATTTCAGTGGATAGTATCTGGAGCAGTATAAACAAGTCATTGTCTGTATGAAATTTTCATTTGTACTGACTTCGCTAGTGCTTTTTATGTAGCCTGTTGTAAAACTAGACAAATATCTAGATGAGTTGATGTGCTCCCAGAAAGGCCTCTGGGTACCCCCAGGGGTACGTGTACCATTGGTTGAGCACCACGGAGCTAAAGGGACAGTTCTGTCTGTTGCCTTGTGGGAGGTGAAAGCAAGGACCTCAATTTTTGCTTCTCCACGGTGTTTGTCAATATACATTTGGAGACTGGCCTGCACAAAGCAAATGAACACAGTTCTGCTGTCATTGTTATCAGCATCTGGTGGTTTGCAGGGCACTTTGCAGAGTGGACAAGGTCCCTCTCAGAAGACGCATACACAACACAGTGAAATACTGCAGGGTCAGAGGGCAGCAAGAGTGTGAACCTATTGGGTGCTGGGAAGTGGGCCTTATGGGAAAAACCTGGGAGGTGGGCGGTTGCAAGCCCCAGGATGAGCAGAGCCTTAATCCCTGTGGATTGAGGAGAGGTTAATTAGGGCACCTGGAGCCAATTAAGGCCCTGCCAGAGACCTAATAAAACCCCCCTGCTCCAACCAAAAGGAGAGCTGACTGTAGTTTGGAGAAGTACTGTTATTGACTGGAGGAGTAGAGTACTGGGGGAAGGAAACGCTGCCTGAGCTGAGGATTGAGAGAAACCCTGCCCAAGGGGAAAGAGGGTAAGAAGACTGTGAAGCTGAAGGGGCTGGGACCTGGGTCCCTTCCCTGCTCCCCTTCTGTTCCCTACTAGAGCACTAGCAGAGCTGTTGATGCCCAAGAATAGGGGTAAGAAGCAGCACCCTGACCCACTGCACCAAGGAAAAGCATAGGACCACCCCCTCCCCCAATAGTGTCAGCCATTGGCCACAACAGCTAAGGAACAGAGGTTAGGAAGCAGCAAAAAGCCATTGCAATATAAAGCCTTAATGCAAACGTTAACAGACAGCACTGGGTTGCTTGGCTTTTTCCTCCCCAGAGCTGTGGCTGCTTTGTGCTCAGTCACTTAGCTCCTATCAGCCATTTCAATTGATGCCTTCTCCTAAAATGAGTCTGGCTGCTTTGTGCTCTGCAATGTGGCTTCCAGAGGAGACCAACAAGGAGAAGAAAGTCAGATATGTCTCCCATAGGAAGGCCAAGGGCAGCAGAACCAGGATGTCCAGCCAGGGTTTGCTGTTAGAACAGGGGTTTTCAAACTGGGAGTTGGGACCCCTCAAGGGGTCATGAGGTTATTACATGGGGGAGGGGGTTGTGAGCTTTCAGCCTCCACCCCAAGCCCTGCTTTGCCTCCAGCATTTATAATGGTGTCAAATTAAAAAAATATTTAATTTATAAGGGGGTGGGGGTTGCACTCAGGCTTGCATGTGAAAGGGGTCACCAATACAAAAGTTTGAGAACCCCTGTGTTAGAACATGGCATGATCTCCTGAAGTAGGGGAAGCTGTTTATCAAACAAGGCTGAGCAAATAACTGGGAAACAGCACTTAGGGCCCAATCCTGCACTGGGTGAGGGAGCAGGAGACCAGTCTAGCTAGAGGGGCTGGCTGCAAACTTACATTTGCAGTATTAGAGGGGAAAGGAGAGGAAGCAATTTGATCCAGGGTTGTTCATCCTCCGCAGTAGCATTTCCTATCCTACCCCAACCAGATAGTGTTGGGGATGCACAGCCTGGGCCGGCCGGCGTCAATAGCAGTCAGGCTGGGAGCAGTCCGCTCTGTGCACCACTTGGTATCAAACACCACGGTGGCAGCTCATCCCAGCCTAGAACTAAGGCTTGGTGTAACAAGAGCCTCTTTTTAAGTTTAAGCTCCTCCAACCTCTTTGGTCTTTTTGTCCCCAAAGCGCACGGTGCAGTTTGTGCTGCAGGATTCCATCCTGACCAGGCATCCTTCCCAGGGAGGATGGCCAATTAGCCTCAGGACTGTTATTTATGGAAAAGCTGCTCTCTAGTGGAGGCTCTAGGGAACATGTCAGGACAAAATAAAAATAAACTAACTGCCGTATCTAAGTTCCACTTGGGGTTTCAGTTGGGTCTGGTATGTGGCACTTCCTGTCGTGAATGAACTGGGGGGTGTGTTCTGGGATAATGCCACCTACACACCTGTGGGAAGTGCTGTGAGATGCAGGGATGAAATGTGGTATTAACAGTGTATACGCTGGGCAGGATTAGTTATGTCTACACTGAGAGACACAAATCCAAAGAAGGTGCTAGAAAATAGATTTGGCTGGCACTCGTTGGGAGTGGCCTACTTGACTTGCCTACAGCCCTATGCTGGCTGACAAACCTTTGATCTCACCCCAGAATGACCTGTCTATGTGGGAAGGTTTGGGGAGTTTTGAAAGCAAACTTGTCTTGATGTGGTGGTTTCTCTCATTGTAAAGAGTCCATTGATGGAACCAGTCCAGGCCTCCTAGAGGGAGGGAAAGACGCTGCATTACCGAAACCTCACTGTCACACTCATGGGGTCTGATGCCTTGGACCCCTAGCAGTGCACCAAGCTTGTGCTCTGTCCCCAGAGGAGAAAATGGGAATAGTCCTCAAGATTTGAAACCTTAGAAGTGGGGCCAGAACTGATGGATTAGGGCAGAGTGCAAGTGAGGTGGTCAAAGGTGCCCGATAAATTACATTAATCTCACTGCTCTCCCATTCCCTGCTTGGATAACATAACCCTGCAAGCACAGAGCTCAATGGAGACGTCTGTGGTACCTTCCTGAAATGGCACCTGCCTGGGAGACTGGAGGGCAGCCTCCACACTGAGCACATGGACACTCCTGAAGGTCTGGCAGGGTGGGAGGGAGCTCTTTCCATGGCCACTCAAGCCTGGCCTTCTGAAAAAGTCCTATTAGAGAACAGTCACTTTCCCTAGGCAGCCTAACCAGCCCTGCTGTAGCATCCTGTCAGAGACCAGTGGATCCTCAGTCTCCTCTTACACTCCATGGGTTTCATTGCTATAGGGCTTTCCAGAGTGGTGATCTCACTGACAGGGCTGTTAAAGCAACCAATTACAAAGCCACTTACTCACAGGCCCACACGCACTCCCAGTGGGTCCAAACCATCTCCTATTAAAGATAGGGGAAGGGCTCCCATTGCCTTCAGTGGTGGGTAGAGGAGGCCCTCAGGGGAGCTGCCCTTTGTTCCTCCCTGTGCTCCCAGAGCACACCCCCTCTTGTACCATGCCACTCGGCAGCTTTGCAACAGCACAACACTGGCACATACAAGTGACATGAGGCCAGCAAAGCCACTCCTATGTGGTTTCAGAGTAGCAGCCGTGTTAGGCTGTATCCGCAAAAAGAACAGGAGTACTTGTGGCACCTTAGAGACTCTCAAATATATTAGATCATAAGCTTTCGTGGACTGCAGCCCACTTCTTTGGACGCATAACTCCTATGTGGGAGAGGGTACAGGCAATGGTGGCTGGACATGCAGAGATGATCTGAGAGAATCTGGAGCTGCTCCTCTCCCCACCCACCCCCAGTTGGTGGGAGCAGTTGCTAAGCATAGGAGCACAACCTGCATGAGGAAATCTAGGGGTAACCACCAATAGCTGGAGGAGAAATCTGTCTCCCTTTAGCTTTTTGGATGGGAAGGGGTAATCTCATCTTTCCGGATAGTCAGCACCCATGTTCCAAGCCTCTTTGCCTCACCCATCATCTCCCTGCCACGGGCCTGTTGTATTTCTCACTTCTCCTCCTCCACTGATGGCTTGACATACCTGGCACAAAATATTCTAACCCCTGTGTCCTGCCCACTGACCTGCTGCAGCCAGCCACAAGGGATTGATGCGGGCAATCAACATTCACCCTCTAATTCCTAGTCCTAGACTGGCAAAGGAGGAGAGCAAAGCAGCCATGGGTCATACTACACATCCCTTTTAAGTAACCCAATTAAACACTGGATCAGACCACTTAAAAAAAATTTAAGCCTCAAAACTCAAACCACTGATTATCTCACTCAATCCCACTTTATAAACCCAGGTTCATTCTGTAGATTATGCATCAATAAGTAACTTTAAGATTGAAAGCTTTGCAACTGTGAAGAGTTTGGGTAGGGGAGAGGGATAGCTCAGTGGTTTGAGCATTGGCCTGCTAAACCCAGGGTTGTGAGTTCAATCCTTAAGGGGGCCACTTAGGGATCTGGGGCAAAAATCAGTACTTGGTCCTGCTAGCAAAGGCAGGGGGCTGGACTTGATGACCTTTCAAGGTCCCTTCCAGTTCTAGGAGATAGGATATCTCCATTAATTTAATTTAATTTAGTTCAGACTTGCATTTGGTAACAATTATTGTGTTCTAGTAGAAGGTCAGGGCCCCATTGCGCTAACTCCTACAACGACTCCATGTCCTAAAAAGCCTAAACTCTAAATAGACAAGTCAGACCAAGAAAAAAGCACATATTGTCAGTTTTCAGATAGGTTCTCTGTGTTGCAGCTCCCCGCGTGACCCACACAGAGTCAGTGGCAGAATTGGAAATGGAACCCAGATCTTGAGTTCCAGGCCTGTACTGAACCAGAAGAGCACCTTTTTCCTAGTAAGGTGACATGTGTAGCTGGAGGAGGAGCAATGAGAGACCGGACAATACCTCTTAAAAGGTAAACTGCTACCCCATTTAGTGCTGTTGCTTGCTGTGTAAGGTATATTAACCTACCTCTTTTCACCACAAGGTGGTACAAGTGAGCTGCTCTTCTGCTGGCACTAGCTAGTTACCTATATAGAGGAAAGAAAAAAGTTATTGTGAAACTATTTGCAGACATGCAACAAGTTGCAAATTCATACTGGAGACATGTTAAACTTGATACAAACGCTGCTACAAGCCGGAAGGTTTCAGGCGGGGCTGGGAGCTAAGCTAGTCTCTCATATTTAGGGAGGAATTTTGGCAGCAAAACTCACTGCTGAGCAAATCATGTTTTCCAAACTATCTAGAAAGCCTGATTTCATGTGCCACTGTAGGTCACTGACTGTCGCTGCACCTCAGCATAGCTAATGGGGCCAGATTGGTGTTCTTGGAGCCACACAGCAGGTACAGCACAGGCCATAGAAGGTCTGAATTCCCTTCTCTGATCAGAGCTCACTTGGTTGAGGCTGCCAACCACTGTCAGAATTGTGACCCTTTCTGAGGTGTGGACACTAAGAATTCCTTCCCAGGTAGTGCACCAACTAGCAGGGTGTCTGCTTGTTTACTTGTAGATGTATAAGGGAGTGGAGCAAAACCCTGACACCCCTTGCCCTCTCTGCTGTGCAGTCAGTGCACTCAGTATGTGCTAGCAGCAGAATGCTCATCTCCTCCTACGCTGCGAGGGCAAACAAACAAGACCCATCCCCTAACTCTAAGCAGCCAGGCTAGAGGGGGTTCTCTCAATTTTTTTTTCTGGTGGCCTCAGAGTGCCACCACCACCTCTTCCTGGTAGCCTCTCTAACAATTTTTTCCCTAAAATTCCTAATTAACTTTAGGAAACAAATAAATATGCACAGACATGTCCAAATCAGTGTGATTTATTTAGATTCTTGCAGACTTGATAATAAAAATGTGCAGTTGCCTCTATTCTTTACTGCTCCTAAACAGACACACACATAAGGTGCTTTGCATGGGCTTTTTTGTTGTCTTTTTAAAGACTTGCTAGCTAGCAAATCTGCTACTGTGAAAAGTGAGTAACAAATATACAAGTATCACTTTTCCTAGATTTAAGCAGCCCTGGCAAGCTAGGGGACAAATTAAGCCCTGGAGGGGAGGTGGGTAGGGAGAGGGGGGTGGGGGGTGGGAGAGAGAGATGGATGCTGGAGGAGGCAGCAGGGGCCAGGGATGACATGTGGGGGAGGTGACTGAGCCTGGGGCCAGAGCCCCAAACCCTTGTGGCTGGGGGATGGAGCCTGTTGTCACATGGCCAGAGCCTGCACACCCCGCCCACCTGCTCTCGAAGGTGGGGATTTGGGAACTCTCCTGCAGTGTTTGTAGCTCCAGAAGGGGGCAGGGCCCAGGCTCTGCTGGCAGCCCTGGGGGAGGGCTGCTGCTTCAAACCCGCTCTAATCACCACCCAGGAGACTGTGGCTGCAAGATTAGCCCCTGGTGGCTGCGATGGCTGCAGTTGAGAAACTGCCAGTGCCACTCAGAGCTACCAGGGGTGAGTTAAAATGGGAGATGAATAGGAGCCTTGTCTGTCAGAGAAACTGACTCATTGCTTCTCACTGGCAGAAAATGCTGCAAGCAGGACCCAAGGGCTGGGTCTGGATCCCGGGAGCCACGCTATGTTGCAGCAGGAGAGGTAGGTTGGGTTAAAGCCACATGTCAGGAGGTGGATGAAACTCGCTCCCTTTTGATACTTAAAGGGTTTGGGGGCATTCCAGGCTTGGGTGAGGGCCCTGAGCATCCCAGCCCCACCCCCACTAGGGAGAGTGTCAAACACTCGTTTAGCAACTCCCACTGGGGAATGGGCAGGGCTCTCCCCTCCCAGGCCTTGGCACCAAGGACAGGGCTCTTGACAGGGAGGAAATAGCATTGGTTGAGTGGCTGCTATCCTAACTATACTAGGGTGGGGCCAATGTGGGGAGACTCCTTATGAGCAACTCTTTCCCAAGCCTATAAAGAGAGCAGAGCACAGAGCTGCTTCCCAGGCTGCAAAACCTGCTCACTAGGGCCTGATGCAAAGATAAGAAAAGTGACTAAGTAAACATGAGCATCTCTAGAGCGCTCCTGGAGGCTGGGCTGGGGACAGCTATAGCAGGAAAGGCCCAAACACATAAGCTCTTCGGAGCAGAGGCCATCTTTTTGTTGTGCCGGGTTCTTTACATATGCAGTAGAGCCCAATCCCCGTTTGGGGATAGGTACTACTGCCTCACTGTCACCAGGTTAAATGAAACTAAAGGGGGCGGGAGGAGAGGAGTTTGCACTGCAGCTTTGAGGGAGAAATCTCCCCATTTGCTCAGTACAGCCTCCAACTTACTTGCATAAGAAGTGCTTCTCGCTAACACCTGTGAACTGTAAATATCAATTAAAAGGTTACCTGGAACGGGAGCTTTCAGTCCAAAGGAGAGCAAAGTGTGTCATAAACACAGCTAAACAGACATTGGTGAGGAGTGTTGCTATAATATCACTTCAGTGTGTTGCTCTGGAGGGGGCTGTATTTCAGTGCATCAAAGAATCATTCATCTAGTGGAAGCTGCAGAGGGAATTTCGGTCAGCAGAATGCAAATATGTGGTCTAGAACCTTACCCCAGGCTGCTGGGTTCACACCCTGTTCATGCTACAAGACGCAGGAGCATTAGTGCAGCAGCACTTGGATAGATCTGAGTATTTCTAGGGCTTCTTGCTCGCTGAAATGCTAGAGGGCTATTGAAAGGGACAGGGTATGTGGATTTACTTTTAAATCTCACCTGAAAGACACCACCTCCAGGAGCAGAGGGTGTCCTAATGTAGCACACGGCAATAGTACAGTGGAAGGGCTGCCTGCAGAATTCCTGCTGCTTCCCAGCTGTGTTTCTACCAGGCCTGTCCAGCCACCTGGATCATTCCCAAGTACTCTCCAGCCAGAGGCTGCTGAATTGATGGGATCATGAGTGACCTAACAGAGCTGGGGCCCGCTGGTCAATGGTGCTAATGCTACTGTGGCCATCTTGCACCCGTGAGACACTAGTAACTGGAGAGTCCAGCTCACGGGATCTAGGACAACTTTCCATTTTACACAATGGTACGCTTTGTAAGAGCAATACTGGAGTTGAGGCAGAACAGCAGCATTCCACCCATTTTGACAGCATTGTCCAGTCGAGAGGGCACTGGGCCGGCAGGTAGTCCCAGTTCTGCCTTTGACCAGCTGTGTGACCTGGGGTGAGTCACTGACCCAACGTATTGTCTCTGTATGTTGTAAGCTGTTTGGGACAGGGACTGTCTTTAGTGTGAGCTTGTCCCTAGAAGTTAATATAGAAATAACCCACCCAGAAGATGCTGTTTCTAGAGGACCTACATAACTACAATGCTTTAAAATGTCAGAATCTTGGGGGTTAGTCATGGCAGAAATAGCGATGAACCAACAGTCTGTAAGAGCGTTTAATCACTAGGCAAGTGATGGCAAAATATGGCTTTTAATACGCCAGCATAAACAAGCACTGACCGGAATGACCACTAGAGCAGCACGTGTGGTTCAGTGGCACAATTCTCACAGTGCATGTGGGAGACTCCTAGGTTCAATTCCTGGCCAATGCAGAGCTGAGTGTTTTCAGGAGAGAAGGGTTATTGTGACGTGGGCTGTGGTGTGCCGGACACAGCACACAGCTTTGCATAGACTGCTTGTTTAGACAACACTGAACAGCTGACTACCCTCTAATTCCTGCTCTTTATTTTACACACAAGAAGTTGCCCTCCAAGCCAACGGTAAGTGTATATAATGATGTAAAAGCCCATTATTAAATAATGCCTGGCATCTCTCCAGCCTTTTGAATAAGGTCATATTTACAACTTGCCATTTCAAAAGGCACTTGCAACTTCATGTAAAACTTAGATGGACTCCAAAGCATCTAAATCCTGCAGAGCAGACTTAGGAATATTTTCCCCCAGGTGTAACTTTCCAAAATGACCTAAGAGAAACCATGGATTTCATACCCATGTCTAATTAGCATAGCTCACAGTAACTTTTGTATTGAAGGCAAACAGTAAGTATAGAGATATTCAATATGCTGGTCGTTTAATAGAATTGAACAGAAATGAAACCCATATAGATCAAGCCATCCTATTAGATGCAAAGATGACATGGTAAGTGTCTTCAGGAGAGCTAAAATTGCTGTAGTGTGTACTTTAGGCAACAAGATACCTTTAGTTTGGGGAGCCACAATCTTCCAAGTGTCCCTGCTGCACAAGCAGGAGGCTCCAGGACATCTTCCTTTTGATACTGTGTAACACGTTAAAAAAAACAAGCATTAATGATCAGAGACAGCTCGATTATCCCCAGGTGGCATTTACAGGTACACATCAGGCCATGAGAGCTTAGAATAAATTTTAAAAATTTTCTTGCACAATAGTCAGATCTTAAAAATAAAATACTTTATTGATAGTATGAATGTTAAACATGTTTAATGCTGTCAGCTATAAAAATGATTAAAGACTTCCGCTTGGTACATTTGGCTTTACAAATTTACAAATGTTAATGAATACTAGTGTATGCATTTTGCACTTCATTATAACCCCATCAATGTCTGCTTATAACTCAGATGTGAATCATAGAAGAAAGTTTTAATTGCTTCCACACACAGACTCTACATCAAATTTAAATACGAACCCTAAATTTCTTATTGGATTAGCTGAATCCATTTTAATAGTTGTGCTTAGTTGAAGATAGGCTACTAGCAAAAATACACATTTTCTCTTGCATTCCCCCTCCCCATATTACATTACAGAAGAAATACAGTATTCAGTGCATTTCCTAAGAAATAAACGTCACTATAGTATATATCTCTCTCTAGAGTCGTCATAAAGAAATGGTACATCACTACTTAAGATTAGGGTAAAAGCAAGAAAACCAGTTAGAGCAGTTGTTAGAATGATACTCTAGCTAAAATCCATTCACCCACCAGTCTTCAGCTGTTACTCTTATCAGGAGAAAAATTTGCTGTGGTAAGATCACATTTTAAATGTGCTTTCCCAAGAGTTTCTACCTATTTAGCTATAGGGTGCTACTGTTTTTCTTATTCTTGGTGTATGGACAATTGAATAGGAACTATGGTACATACATCTATTTAGAAGTTTATAAAAACATATCTAACCATCTCCATTGCATTATACCAATTATACAAATGGGTCATTTTTCAGCTTGGAAAAGAGACAACTAAGGGGGATGGGGGGCAGAGATGTGATAGAGGTCTATAAAATCATGACTGGTGAACAGTCAAGTGGTGTTGACTCCTTCTTGTAATACAAGAATTAGGGGGTTACCAAATGAAATTACTAGGCAGCAGGTTTAAAACAAAGGAAGTGTTTTTTTTTTTTTCCACACAGTCTGTGGAACTCTTTGTCAGAGGATGTTGTGAAGGCCACAACTATAACCGGGTTCAAAAAAGAACTAGGTAAGTTCATGGAGGATAGGTCCATCAATGGTTATTTGCCAGGCTGCACAGGGATGGTGTCTCTAGCCTCTGTTTGCCAGAAGCTGGGAATGGGCAACAGGGGATGGATCACTTGGTGAATACCTGTTCTGTTCATTCCCTCCTGGGGGAAACCTGACATTGGCCACTGTCAGAAGACAGGATAGTGGGCTAGATGGACCTTTGGTCTGACCCTGTATGGCTGTTATGTGTGGAGGGGTAGAAAAGGGTTGGTTAGGATACCATCTGCTAATGCAGTTCAAGAATTAAGACTCAGAGCTGGAAGAGACCTATTATATCATGTATAGGAGTGCATCCTCCCAACCACTGCAGGAATCTTTCCTAAAATAAAGTATCAAGTGCTTTGTTTAGATGTGTGCTGAATAACTAAAACAGAGGAGCAAGCACCCAACTGTGGGAAACACTACTCCAGGCTCTATGTTGCTGTAGGCAGAATGGCTAAAAATGGCCCGACATCAAGCAGCAAATCTAAGTTTAGGATCAGTCTCGTAATCTGTGCCACTTGGCATTTGGGATACACACTCATTCAGGCTAGATTCCAGACTAACCCTGATCTCTGTTCTATTTATCTTGTTACATTTAGTGTCCATTACTGTAGTGTCATCACACACTAGACTCTGCTGTCCTATTTGGATGTGAGTAGCATAGGTTTGCAGTGAGGTCTGTAGACCTAGCATTTACTTCACAGCACAGGTAAAAGTTATTGAATCTGTTGCAAACTGAACTCCAAAGTCAGGCAGACTTTCTGCCCCCCCCCCCCTTTTTTTTTTAAAAAAAACCTGCTCTTATTTTATAATCTTAAGAGTGTATTTCCACCTTTTCTTTATGAATTATGGAGAACTTCAATAACATAACCAGACTAAGATTAATATATGCATTGTGTGTGTAACATGTACATCGGTGCATCTATCTATACATATATGCATATTTATATATGAAAGTTAATAATTTGGTTCCACAGCTGCAGCCACTGAGGCTAGCAGGATCCTATAGCAAACTGCTCAGTAAAATCGGTCAGTCTGACATACAGTATTGTTACAAAGTAAGCAACTTAAGTTATTGCTTTTGATTATTAGTAAAGATCCCATCTTACTGTATAGAATGACTAGCGATTTCTCTTTTCAAGTAATAGCAAGATCCTTATCTCACAAGTTCTACA